ATCCCAATTCTGACTGCCATTCCTTCACAGTCAGTGATCTTTGGATTTTTATGTGCACAAGAATCACCTAGAGACCTTGGCAAATGCAGGAGTGGACTCAGCAGATCTGGCGTAGGGACCCAGACTCTGCGTGTGTAATAGGGTATGATGCAGATGCTTGTGGTCATTGAACCACACTTTGAGTGACAAGCCACTTGTCCTGTCTTTACCCTGCCACATTAAAATCTTTTCTCAGGTTGGCCCCAATCTACTCTTCGGGGTTGGGGTCTGCAAATGAACAAGCCTCACCAAAGTGGTCTGACCGGGGCAGAGTAGAACAGAGAATCATTGTCCTTGTTGGGTCTCAGGCTGGGATGATTGTTTGGTATCCTAGGAGGAGGCTGGAGGTTGGGGCAAAAAGAACATGGCACCTGGGCCTATGTATGGAGCGGATATCGAGGCAGGGGGGCAGATTTTAAGAGACTGTGAGCCCCGCCTTGGGTGCCAGGTTTCCATATGCAGGAGTCGATAGGTGTCACATAGAAAGCCAGATGTGAACTCTGAGCAGGAGCGAGGAAGGGACTGGATTCTAAGCCACTATAGCTCAAGTGGAAGGAGTCAAGGGCAGGGGACAGGGACAGCTGCTCTTAGAGGACTCTCTGGCCTTCGGGAGTGCTCAGAGTAGGGAGGGCATGGCTGGCGGGGGTGTGAGGTTGGGTAACCTGTGTTGGAAACAAGTCTCTTCTCAGAGCCAGCAGAGTTCACAAGATTCTTTTTGATGAGTGCATCACACAGGGGACTCACGTAGAGCCTTGAAGCTACTCCCGTTGGATATATCTACCACCTGGCACCTATTTGCCAGTTCTGACTTACTCAGACTATTCCCGGGTTGGTTCCCAGTAGAGGGCAGTGATGACAAGGATGCATCCAAAGCCCTCCCCCTCCAGTCTCAGACTCCCAGTCCCCACTTAGTAGACAGAAGTCACCGAGGACCAGAGACAGAGCTTCATAGGGATGAGGGACTGATACTTTGTTTGACTCTCATGAAAAGAGTGAGCTTAGGGCAAGAGTAATGCAGTTACCATCTTACTGATGGGCTTCCAGTTCCCCCTTGGATTTCTGGTCAGTGACTCAGACGGGGACCCAGAGCTGGTATTTCCTGAATAGTAGCTGAATCAGGGACAGTTCATTGGAATGACAGAGGGTGAGCCTTGCAGAAAGAATCCCAGCTCTGAATCTGAAAGCCAAGTATATGGCTTTGGAAAAACCACTTCACCCATTTGTGGAGTTTCCTAATCTAAATAAAAGGGACAATAAAATTAGCATCTTCTGTGTCAGATTTTGTGAAGATTATGACTTACATTTTTTGTCACCTAGTAATGGACTGGTGAAAATGGACTTCCCTGGTGGCTCAGATGGTAAAGGATCTGCCTGCAATGCAGGAGACCCAAGTTTGATCCCTGGGTTGGGGAGATCCCCTGGAGACAAGAATGGCTACCCTCATCCAGAATTCTTGACTGCAGAATTCCGTGGACAGAGGACCCTGGTGGGCTAGAGTCCACGGTAGAGCCTGTCTGCAAAGAGTCAGACAAGACTGAGTGACAAGCACTTTCACTTTCTTTTTTCAGTGGATTGATATGTTTAGACTGAATTTTTAAAAATAGTCATAACTGAGCTTCCATTTGATGAGGTGCTCAGTACCTGCCTAAAAGAGCTGGTTGCATTGCTAGGAGATCCCATCTTTAGTCAACCCTGATGTGTTTCCTGTAAGTCCAATTGCAGGTTCTCATCTGTACTCACAATGTGAGCCCTGTGGACACGCTCCTGAGTCTGCCATGGGGGTAGGACTAGCCTGTTATGACTCTCTCCCCATCTTCTTCCTTGCAGAGGCAGGAACCACAGGTAAATGCTATCTGGCCTTTGGTCCCAAAGCCAGTTCCTGCATACCTGTGTTGCCTTCAGACACTGTCAGCAGGCTTTCCTTTTGAACAGAGGGCCACATCTCTGGTGGCTCAAGCCAGGGCCCTGAAAAGGATGCTGAAGGGAGACAGAATTCACCACGTCCTGGGGCAATTCCTGTATGTAGAGTTCTAGTTGGACCAGCCAGATGTGGCTGCTCCTGATAACCTCACTGTGCAAAGTCTGGGATTTCAGTTCTGATGCCTCTGAGCTGAACTCATGGAATTTATCGAAACCGCTGGGCTGTGGCCTTTCAGATGGCCTCTCTGAATATCTTGCATGGTCGTCTGTGACCCTCAGGTGTGTTCCATTGTTGATTCATGGTCACCTCTGAAGGTGCTTCTGTTTAGGAACATCTTGGAGTTTACTTGGGAAAGGTTTTCTGATACTCATCCAAGATCTTCACTTTCCTTTGGGTAGAGAGCTAGATTCTATCCTAGGAGCAGCATTTGACATGGTCGATTACTCCTGCCTTCTTGAAACCCCCTCTTCCCCTGGCTCTAGGACACTATACTCTCCTGGGTGTTTTTTTTTATTTTTTACTTGTCTGTCCACTCCTTCTCTGCCTCCTATGCAGGCTTGTCTTCCTCTGCCTGCTCACTGAATATTACAGACCCTCAAGTCTCTATCTGAACCATCTTCTCCATCCACTCTTCATTCTTTCCCCAGCTGACTTTATCAGACCCCATGCTTTAGATATCATCTACATGCATGTGACTCACACATTCTTACCTCCAGCTTAGACCTCCTTTAAGAGCTTCAGGCCTGCATTTTAACTTCCTCCTCTTGTAGAGTATCTTCCAAGCTTAAATTACCATAAACATATATTTCCCTTCTAATTTCCTTTTTTTATTGGCATACAGTTGCTTTACAACATCGTGTTAGTTTTTGCTCTACAACAAAGTGAGCCAGCTATATGTATGCATATATCCTCCCCTCTTGAATCGCCTTCTTACCGCACCCCCTCCTCAGCCCCTTCCTAAATGGTCGGCCAATTCTCTGCCAGGAGTTCCTTGGTGGAGTTGATAGGCAGAGCCTGCTCAGACCATCCTACAATGTGATGAGCTGGGGTTTTGTCTTTAGCTGCTGAGGGAAACTGAGTAAAATCCCTTACTTGTAAGTCCTGCCAGAAGAAGGAGCTCTGACCCCATTGATGTCTTAGTTGGGCTCACAGAACACGGGTGCTCAGTAGCCAATTAAGGAATGACTGAACGAATAAATGAGACGAACAGCTGTGGTCCACTCGCCTTGACGTCATTCACCCATCATCTGTAAAGCAACAGTGATGAGGAGGAAGGCCTGTGTAGACAGTGACTTTAGAGAGATAACTAGGACTCTCTCTGCTCTTAGTGTTGGAGGCAAAGTCAACCCGGCTTTTCTGAGTTACAAGAGAGTCTGGGGAAAGTGCTGTAGTGAAGGAACCGCATGACTGCAGGCGGAGGGGGATGTGCTGATGGGCTGTTGTGAAACATCTGTGAGTTTGGAGAATCAGAATCTTAGCTTGTGGGCATTAGTATCCCTTCAACTCAGCCGAGTTCTGTGAACACAGGGCTGTAAAAAAGGAGAAACTCAATTTGGTTTCATGAGAACAAATGTGTGTGGGAAGAGCTATCATCCCCTCAGCTAAACATTAAACCATCACAGACATTAAGGGAACACCTATTACAAGCCAGACCCTGCACTGACATGAGGAAACAGAGACAAAGAAGGCATCCTCTTGCCCCCAAGGAGCTTGCAGACCACTGAAGGAGACAGACGGGGAAACAAATAACTAATAATATCAGCACACTGAGATGTACCAAGTGTTACAGAGTGTTAGCAGAATTTGGAGAGGGACTCTCCTGGGGCAACCAGGGAAGGCAGCATCACTGATAAAGGATGAGCTGGTGCTGATGTTGGTAGAAAAGTAGGGATGGGTCAGGGAGAGGATACTTTGGACTTCAGCTGCCTCACACAGACCTGGCATCCTTGGGAGGAATTCTCGGTGGTGTTAATCCTGAACCACACTCCAGAAGGTTCACACAGGTGTCTGGAATGGCAGGTTGCCTCTGTCCCCAGGTCATTGCATGGAGAGGCCAGGCTTAGGCATTCTCTGGCTCCTGATTGTTGCTATGGCCTTAGCAAGTGGTTGGCTGGGAGGAGTAGGATTGGGGGACTAGGGGACTTGAAAGTTGAACTCAAGGCTTCTGACTTCTGGAACCTACACTTAAGAGTCAAAAAACCAATGGGATCCTGCCTCTGAGCTTTATCAGCCCACATGACTTTTAGCTAGTTCCTTTGTTTTCTCATCTATAAAATGGGACAATCCATAGATACTTCGGGGAACATTTGCAAGGATTGTCCAAGCTGGATCCATGAAATGGCTCAGCCGAGGGCTGGGGATGTAGTAAGTGCCCAATTCCTAGTTTTCCTTGACATGGAATTGAGTCAGTCAGTGAGTGCTGGCAAAGCTGGTAACATCAACATTAAATTTCAAAAATGGAGTTAGCGGATTTAAGTGTTTTCTGAATCCAAAGCAGTTCTCCTTAATGCACTAGATTTCTTCCCCACCATTTGTTTCATATAAGGTGCAAAATGAAAGCATTATGTTTTTATCTTTAAAAATTCAGTGATTTCAGTTGTGCTACCCAAGGCTGTTGTTTTCACCATTTACTGGAAAGAATTAAGCAGGGTTTGGAATAATTCCATCAGCCTAAGGATCAAACTGTAGTCCCATGGTTTGATCCTAGGGACAGAATGGTATGAGGGATAAAAATCATCTGCTTGATCTCATGAGAGGAGAAGAAGGGTGCCTCCAGCACAGTAGTCGTATAACCTCGGGAAGCTCACTCAGTTTCTCTGCACCTCAGTTTCTTCATATGCAAAAAAAGGCTATAATAACCCCAACCTCACGAGGAATTAATGCTCAAAAGTGTTTAACTGGGTCAGTGTGTGTGGTGACCTCAGCACAGTGCCTGGCACATAGTTAGCACTCAGCAAATGGAAGCTGTCGTCACCATGATTGTGTCTAGTCATGTATGTGAGCCTTTTCAACATCTCTCCTCTTCACCTTTGCCTCCAAGGTGCGTCCACTCAGAACTCCAACACAGTGGAGCCGGAGAAGCAGGTGGACAGCACCGTGAAGATGGCCGGTGTCATCGCTGGCCTCCTCATGTTCACCATCATCCTCCTGGGCGTGATGCTCACCATCAAGAGGAGGTGAGTATGGGCTGCTGCCCTGCAGACTCTGCCAACCCCAAGCGGCCCCAACACCGCCATATGGCCAAGTCCTTTCTTGCTGACCACTTCCAGGCAGGGACCTCCTGGTACAAATGTTGAGGTCCTGAAATTTGGGGCCAGTTGTGGTTCATCGTGTTGTTGTCTGAAGGGTGTGTGCTGCCTGCTTGGTGAGCAGCTGCAGGATGGCCAGTGTCTCACGGGGCAGGTGTTCCTTGGTGTACGATGCTCCTCAGAGATAGCTGCTCTGTTGTGATTGGTCACATCATCAGGATTACGGGGGAGCCGCAGGGACACAGATGAGCCTACAGAGACAGATGCAGAAAAGCCATGTTTCATTCCTCTCACCTTCATCCATCCCCGATTTGTCTTCGGTCAAGGAACAGTGTGCCTCTGCATGAAAGGGTAGAGCCTCCGATGGTGTGACAGCCCTCAGGGAAGTCTCCTTCCTGCTCCCTGTCCCATAGAACCTTCCCTGCTGGCTGGTTGGTGCTTGTCACCTCTCAGCCGGATATCCTCCTGGCGCCTCTGGTCAAGGCACAGTTATCTCATGTTGCGCACATTGCTCGTGAAAGCCAGGATCCAGGTTCCTTCCTGATCCCCCAAATTCATTTTATGCTGACATCGTGTGTTTATCAGGCATTCACAAGGTTTGAGGACCACCCAGGGAGTTGCAGAGAGGAAAGGGAAATATGCATCAGGGAAGGTGGGTGAGTATCAGCTCTCACTGTCCCTGGAGTGCGGAGCTAGCTGATTCTTCTAAATAGGGGGTCCTCCCACCTTCACACATTAGCCACTGTGTCCCCATGCCTGCTGCCCATCTCAGTTTCAGTGCCAGGATTCCAATCTTGGTCTCCACCCTCCCACTCCCCAATCTGCCAAAGCAAACAAAACACTTATCTACGTTATAAGGACATGTGCTGCAACCTGCCCTGCCCCCAGTTTAAAGAGTTATATTTATATTCTTCAACAAACTATTTAACTCCTCAGCCTGAAACTCTGGGTTTGGTTACTCAGAGTTCAAGACAAGCCCAGTAATGAGGACTGGGAACCTGCTGCCATCCCTGGGACAAAACCAGCTCATGAAACTTGTTCCCAGCAGAACAAAGACAGAATGCCCCAAAGACAAAATCCAGCTTCTACTCTAAGGAGTCCCATAAACAGAAATGCACAAAGTAAAAAAAAAAATAAAGACTGTGTTCTTATTTCCAGCCATTGATTTCTACTCTGCTAGTTATCAGCCTTCTTTTAGCCATTCTGGCCCCAGAATGTCTCTGTATGTCACATGGTTCCATTCTGAGTCAACCAGGACCTGCTTTGATCAGGACATCTTTTTGGTAGGACCTGTTCTTTCTTTTCTTCTAAATATTTATTTATTTAGCTGGCTGCCCTGTAGCTCAGATGGTAAAGAATCTCCCAGCAATGCAGGAAACTGGGTTCAATCCCTGGGTTGGAAAGATCCGCTGGAGAAGGGAATGGCAACCCACTCCAATATTCTTGCCTAGAGAATCCCATGGACAGAGGAGCGTGGCGGGCTACAGTCCATGAGGTCGCACAGAGTTCAGACATAATTGAGTGACTAACACAGAGACTACTACCCAGTCTTAGAAGGATATTTCAGTTACAGATTGTGGGATTAAGTTCCTTGGCCAGAAATTGAACCAGGCCCCCAGCAATGGGAGCACAGAGTCTTAGCCACAGAGAAGTCCCAGGATCTGTTCTTTCTTGACATGTCTGTTCTATAGGATCATTCTTTTCCTCAGGCTCCCAGCAGAACAACAGAAGAATTAAGATTCTCATCCAGCTACTGATTTTCTGGTTGGAGAGGCAAGGGAGAAGGAAGGTCCATGTTAATACTGGGGGTCAGGAGCCCCCAGAGTCGTCATCATCATCTGTGAAGCCAGGCTATGTGTTATGTCTCAGTGACAAGCCAGATGCTATTGGATGAGGTCAAACATGAGATTTGATTTCTCTGGGAGGCAGTGAGCACGTTACACATATAAGATCCTCGATACATTCTTAGAGTCTCAGATGCTTTAAAGACAGAGGTGAGTTTGAGAGAGTCTCTTTGAAAAAAGTAACTCATTTAATAGAATTGCATTCCTCTTCGATAGACCCTGGAGGTTCTTATTCTTTGCCACTGATTTGTAAGTCAGATATGCTCTTCCAATTTTGCTCTTTCTAAAGCCTGGCTTAACCCACGTCACCATCGTCTGTGAGCTTGTGAAGAAATTTCACTTCCCTCTCAGCAGCTATTTCTGAAATGTGTGACTTTCCGGGAGGGAGGGAGGGGCTTTCTAGTTTCAGGATGAGAGCAGGAATAAAGTGAGCCCTTTGTGTGGTTTTATCCTTTTCTGAGTATCTTCATCAGCTCTCAGTTCTATCAAAACCATCCATCAGTCCCAATCAACAGGCGTCACCTGATCACCATTTCCTCCCAAGAGGCAAATCTCAGATGTTGTGGCAGTGAGCCAGGGGGTGGGCGGGGGTGCCGATCAGCGTTTGCCTATACAGCATCTTTCGGAGAAAATAAGACGTTTTTCTGGCCTAGTTGATGGTCATATTTTACAAATTGGTATGGACTGGAAAAGGAAGGAGTAGAGAGGGGAAAGGGAGAAAAAGAGAAACATAAGCCTGCTATGTTTAACTCTTTCTGCTAACCCCTTGCCCCAAAGGACAGTGAAGAGCTTGAGGGGCTCCGTTCCCTCTTCTGACCCCAACCCCATATATAGATGCGGGGGAAGCGTCACTGGAAGGTTGGGCCTGTCCCTGACTTACTTACTGCCCACCAGAATGCTGTCCATGTGTATAGTGTGCTCAGTTGCCGAAGTCATGTCCGACTCTTCGCAGCCCACCAGGCTCCTCTGTCCATGGGATTCTCTAGGAAAGAATACTGGAGTGGGTTGTCATTTTCTCCTCCAGGGGATCTTCCCAACCCAGGGATCGAACCCATGTCTCCTGTGTCTCCTGCATTGGCAGGCAGATTCTTTCCACTGTACCACCTGGGAGTGCTGTCCACAGCCACCTAAAGGGAATAGATAATTAAAGGAAAAGAAACCCCAAAATAATAGGTAAAAAACCGTCACAAATCAGAGTCTTAGGGTCAGCATCTCTTCAGCGTCCCTTCGTGAGCTTGAGTTCGTTTCTGCTTCCAGGAGCTCTCGGAAGTTGAATGCCTGCCACACTTCCTGCACTGGCTTGAGCCAGGTCTTCACTGTAACCTCCATGGACATGGGCATGATGGCTCCGTTTCCTGTGATCCCAGTGGATTCAGCTGACTCAAAGTCTTCCCCAGAGCTGCAGCGAAGTGTTTCCAGTCCACTTCAGACACTCCTAGTTTCCCCCTACAAGCCCTCGGGCTTACCTGTCACTATCCACCGAGAGTCTTTCTCTTAGATTAGGTGTTGTGTGTGTGTTGTACTGAACTAGAAAAATGGCCTAGAAAGGGCTAAAGACGCAGATGACCAAGGAAAGGGTTTAGTGAAGTCAATTTACATTTAGAAGCCTGGGGAAAGAGAAGGGAAGAGAGAGAGAGAGAGATCAACATACCCTGAGGAATGTTTTGTTGTTGTTTGGTTTTTTTGAAATGGCTGGAGGGCATATGGAAAGATGCAAGTTTGCAGAAGGGGATATGAGATGTTGGTGATCCATTCAAACAGAATTCCCTTCGAGTTTGAAAAAGATGCAAATTCAACTTTGGACTTCTTTTAATAGTACCTTTGGCTGTTTGGACTGGGCTTCTTTGAATTCAGGATGATACAGAATCAGGGTTGTATCTGTTTGGAGGGTTGCATGAGCATTATAAGATGGAACTTGGAGCCCCTTCTGACAGAGTTAACAACCCCTGTGGTTATAGCCAAGCTCATTGTAAAACATCCACTCTTAGGTTCTCACTGTGTAATGTCTCCATCTTTTTCTCCTGGCTTATTGGTCACATCTAGACCTCAGAAACAGTCTAGAATGGATTTGTGCATGCCATCATGTAGTCAAACACACTTCCTCTTCATGAGCGCCCTGTTGAGTCCTGAAATGAAGAAAAACTGTCATCTCTGCAGTCCCGGTCATCTTCTGCCCTGATCTCCTCCCTTTGAATTACTGGACATCCTCTCTCAAAGAAAGGGGCAGCCAAGGAGTTACTAGGCCACCTCTCTGGTCCCTTGGCTCAATGTTACAGAGCCCTGGGTGCCTTCAGTGTAAATTGAGGTGGAAAGCTCCAGCCTTAGTGCCTTAACCCAGGGGTTCCCAACCTCTGGACCATGGACCTGTCAGATCAGCAGCAGCATCAGTTTAGAAATAAAGTGTCCAATGTATGTAATTCACTTGAATCATCCCCAACCATCCCCCTACCTTTCCAGAGCGTGGAAAAATTTCTTCCACAACACCGGACCCTGGTGCCAAAAAGGTTAGGGACCACCACATTAATAAGTGTTTCTTGATGGTTGAAGGTGTTTATTGGCCACTCACATATGGAAAGTTTGATGTTGAAATGCTTGTTTGTAGGACATGGACATACTGCATATGCCTACAAGCTCCCTATCATCGTTTATTCCTTGGGACACACTTCCTGAAGTTTGAGTGTGGTCCTCCAAGGCTTAAGGCATAGCGATACACTTCTGGATGGGAAAACATGGAGCCAGGTTAAGCAGGAATAACTTGGTAGATCTGTACCTCAAGACTTCTGTGTGTTCTACATGAACCTCTCCAGCCCTTCTTACTTTGCAAGTTTTAGGCAGAAACTAAGCAAATTTTAGGCAGTCAGTTTCAAAATCCTTCACCACACACAGTTCCATCCACCCCACCTCCTTGTCTCCTCTCCCTGCCCAGCTCTTCTGGTCCATCCGAAACTTTCAGCCAGTCGTGCTTTGCCTGTCCAGACAGTACCTTCCCATGAATGCATTTGGAGTGTCTTGAGTTTGAGATATGAGAATCTGCTTTGAGATAAACATGCACCTCTTGCTGTACCTTGATTCTCCGTGATTTGT